CTGTTTCCAAAAGGAAGATCCAACATTCATGTACTGAAAAAAAACACTAACAGATTATTTTATTTTATTTTCTACTCCAGCAATAGAAAAAAAGAGATCAATTTTTTAAATTTCTCAAACCGGAAGTCTAAGAAATACTTTTTTGTTCTAAAAAATAAAATAAAAATATAAATACACCTCACCTGCAGGTATCTGCACCGACGTCTGGTTGGGAGGAAGCTTCAGCCACTGCACAGGACCAACCTGGACCACAGGACTCCAGTCCACAACGTAGCCACAAGTCCCTGCTGGACTGCGGGACCAGGACAGGTCCAAGACTCCGTTTGTCCCCGAGAGGCTGGAAGTCCCTACGTTATCCAGATCTGGAACAGAAGGTTTGATTCTGGAGTCACATGGATCACAAGACATTCAGCATTTAGCACATCAACTTCATAAAAACTCAATTTAAAAACTCAATTAGAGAACTTGCATTTCCGGCGAAAATGCTAGTGTGAATGCCTCTTTCTGATAACTTTAGCTGAAGCTAAGAAACAAATTGATGATGTCACTGATGTAACTGATGATGTCAATGACGATGTCACTTATGTGACTGATGATGTCACTCATCATAACCAAAATTCAAAAAATTGATATAGCTAAAAAACTATAAAAATTTAAGAAACCAAAAATCATAGCCGAAATGTCCTGAAGGAGCTGAACATTTTGTTATATGAATGGTTTAAGTAACATAAAAATTGTGGAAGGAGAAGCGGTCCAAAAAATGTACCCATTCAAAGTCAATGGGAAAAAAAACTGCTTAAAAACTGAAATAGCTAAAAAAAAAGTGTAAAAGGTTAAGTTACCAAAAGTCATAGCTGGAATGTCCTGAAGGAGCTGAACATTTTGATATATGAATGGTTTAAGTAGCACAAAAACTGTGGAAGGAGACGCTGTCCAAAAACATACGGAAAAAACTGGAATAATAAAGAACTAGACATGGGTTTTTACGATGTAAAAACAAGCGTACATTGCAATGCAGCATGAACCCTGATCTCCCACATGAAATTCCATGACATAGACCATTAGACCAATGGAACTGTGGCAGAGTGTGGTGCCAGGGGTTGGTTTGTATGTGTGCAGAAAGAGGCCACATTGCCAATNTTTGGAACTATTGAGAGCTCCATGAACCACGTGACCATGTGTCGGCTGGTTCAAAGAGTGTCGCAACTCTCTTTCTATAGGGCTCTGGTTTGATGCATTGAACATGGATACAGGCGGAACAGGAAACAGATATGATACTTCAAAATAAAACAAATACAAAACGGCACGCAGGTGTTCTGCTGAATGTTAACAGGCTTTCAGCAGTTATTTAACACATAGCATACACACTGCATTTTACACAGAATGTATACGAGAAAAATCATGTTTTTCTGTCCTATTTAAGCTGTTTTGTGTAATTTTTACGACTTACCTTTATAGGAGCAGGTGCCTGTGCTCTGTAATAATCGAACCATGGTTGTGGAAAGCACTTTGGCCTATTTCCATCTCCAGACATGTAAATGATGATGTCAAACTGCAGCCAGCAGACACACAACTAAATGCATCATTTCAGCTTCACTGTAGGAATGTCACCAGACTCCTGCTGTGGCACCAACAAATCCCCACCTACAGCATCCCCCATGTCAGCGCTAAAATTGACAGAGTCTTGGAAAAGATGCGACATAAAGGTAAGCATTTTTGAAATGCTGAAAATATTTTCATAAACAGATTAAAAACAACCCGGCATCACAAGCTGTGAGGCTGAGGGAAAATGTTTCTATAGCAACCTGTAGCACTTTGATGGATTGCAAAACTCCCGTGTGTTAGCACATACACAGGGTTTCACACACACATTTCTCATATTCATCTAACTATAAAAAGTAGGAAACAGCTCACAGGTAGAGGCACAATCTACTAATTACTGCAGAACAGCAGCAGTGTCTGTTGTATCAGGAGAAGTGGCTCAGACTCCACAGACAGTTTGTGGGTGGAGGGAGACACAGGCTCTTTTCTCCTTCACCTCATTTAAAAAAAGCTGAACACGAGCCAGCAGCTGAGATCTGTACAAATAACACCATCTGCATGTGAGAAATACATCGCTTTCTTCTGCTCACTGATATCAATCCTCCTGCTCATACAGACACAACAAAGATCCTCAGTTACATATGTGGTGCTGTTTGTAAAGTTACAGTCAAAAATTACCACTAATATTTATGTTTTATTTAGTCTTTTAATGAGAAAAAAGAACAGATTTATTTTTTAAAGTCAGTTTTTCACCATATGATTCATACATTGATAAATGTCAGTTTATAAACTAAATATTTAACTTACATATTGAATATTTAGTTAACAAACTAAATATTTAACTTGTGACGTAAATATTTAGTTTTGAGATAAATGTTTAGCTTGAAACTTAAATTTTTAGGTAGCAATTTGAATATTTAGCAAGTAAGTTAAATATTTGGCCAGCAACCTAAATATTTAACTGAAATATTAAGCAAGTAAGTAAATATTTAGCTAGATTCCTAAATATTTAGGTTGCAACATAAATATTTAGCTAGCAACTTAAATATTTAGCTTGCTACCAAAATATTTAAGTGAAATATTTAGGTAGCAACTTAAATATTTAGCTAGCAAACAAAATATTTAA